TAACAAATAACAACCAATATAAAACTGAAACTAGAAATAACAGAACAACAAAATAACCACAGCTGTGACTAGATACATTCTACCCTACGGGCAGAGTAGTACCACAGCTGTGGGGCCCACATCAATGTTCTCTACAGTAACAATCTGCTAAACCAATTTTAATGGAGTTAATATATCAGTTGCTACTTTCTTTGTAATTGAACCCGATCCTTTAAATATTAGAGGTGTAATAAGTTATACATATTCTGATCCTTGAAGCATATGTTTTTACATCTAAGTTTTCCCCATTTTAATTTGTAGCATTTGGGTCTTCCAGTGAATGGATGGATCATGAAGGGGAAAACAAATAAATCGAAAGTTACCCACTAAGATTATCTTCTTTCCATGCATTAAAGTGTTGCCTTTTTAATAAGTTGGAAAGTGTTTTACAAGAGGAGAGAGGGTAACTGTGCAAAAGATATAGGCCTCGTTTGGCACGTCTTTTCACGTGGGCTGTCGGCTTTTTAGAAGCCCAGAAGCCCGCGTTTTGGTCTTTTCCCATTTGGTTGGGGAAAAATCTAACCACCAAAAACCACATCCCCAAAAAGACATGGGAAGCCCATTTTAGGCTATTTTCGGGAAGCTCCAAATGGAGCTTTTCGCCTTTTTTTCAACTCGTCTTCACGCGGAAAGACACATGGACAAACGCGCCTTAACCAAATGATCTTCAAGCTGCTAAGATCTTCATGCAAAAGCTCATATGTCAGAGCTTCCAGAAGATCTTTCAAAAAAGACTTGCCAAACGGCCCCATAGTATCCAAATCTACATCACTGAAAAGTGAATAAAAACTCTTTTCTAGACATATTAATTAATCCAAAACAAGTGCCCTATATGCAGTAGTTAGTACTTAGTATGACCCAACAAATAATATAAAGATATAATGTCTCAAATATAAAAACAACTTCTTAATTGGAAGGTTGTTGATAAAAGGATAGAGGATGGGGGTTTTAGGCATTTTGAAGACAATCTCTTCTAGTAAAATACAAAATTAGTTCAGTGAAGACTTGTCAAGGAGATTTAGGTGTTTTTCGGTAAATCTGAACTCTAATATCTTAAAAAGAGAAAAAAAATCTGGGAAAGTTTGACTTCTAATATGTGAAAATTTTCTTTTTTTTTATTTTTCAGACCTCTGAATGTAGTGAAACTGTTCAATAATCTGAATGCTATAACCTCTAAGAAACGTCCATTTTATAGTTTTACCCTTTTGAATATACAATATATATTATATTATCAATTATATACAGAAGGTCTCTTGTTCCTCTTTCTTAAGCTCTCAAATGTTTAGTTCCTAGGCTTCTCTGCTCAAAGCTATCCAAGTAAAAAGATTCCATCATGCCAAAATCTGGAGATTTTCATTGTGAAAACAATGCATATGAAGGCTAATACTCCTAACTCCTAAGATGCTTCAATATAGAATCAAGATTTGGAAGCTAGTGGTGAGTTAGGGTAATTACCTTTTTCCATCCATAATGATTTTATTACCAGGGCTAGGTATCACTTTAAGCACACTGAGTGCCGAACTGAAGCCTCCTGCTGATATACTGAGCTTCTTTGCACCTTTGGGGATGGGTTCTTGCCCCACAAAGGGAAGATTATGTAGAGTGCTTAGGCTGGTACAAGTTGCAGCATTTGGGAGAAGGTTGATTGACTGAATGACAGTTTATTCCATCAGGGAGGTGAGAGCCTTGGCTTCCAGATTCAAGATCTCATTCGGATGGATCCTGTTATATCAACTCGATAGCTGATAGTTTAAGCAAGGGAATTGGTGGAGTGATTGATATTAATGCACTGCCATCCCCACTTTCCCAGTAGTTTGATATTTGTTATGGGCTATCTTTTTATGTTTTTGAGCTACTGAACACACAGGTTTCTTTTCCCACTTCCATGTCCTGGGTTGTAGGAATTTAGAATTCTTTCATCTTCACTTTAGTAAGTTTTCCATTAAGGACTATTCATCATGTATGAACAAACATATTACAGTATTATTCCAATACAATTAAATATGCACAAATTTGTAGCTGTACTCTGTGAAACAAGACAACTCCATTTTCAGGAATGGGAGATGAGAGAGTTTTCAACCATAATGGGTTTACAACAAACTGAGCAAAGGTCAGCACTTGTACATATCTTTTGCATTAGTTATGGATGAACTAACTAAATATTTACAGGAAAAGGTCCCATGGTGCATATTGTTTGCTATAGATATGGTATTGTTAATAAGAATAAGCATGAGTTGAACATAAAGCTAGAACAATGGCTGAACCATTTTACTATTTTAGTAGAAATGGTAGTATTGATGGTGGTTCAATTAAGGTTGATGATCCCCTAACAAAACAATTCAAATATTTATTATAAACTATTCATAATGAAGAACAAATTGAAGAGAATGTTGTCCATAGAATTAGAGTAGGTGGTGGTTGAAGTAGAGAGGTGCATCTGGTGTATCATTTGTGACCAATGTATACCAATGATGCTATAAAAGAAAAATTCTATAAAAAATGCACTTATATGACATGAGGATGCTGAGGTAGATGAGTGACAAAACTGGAGAAGACAGAATTGTAAATAACCAATTAACCAGAATTGATAGTAGCCGACATTGATAATAATAAGTAGGGAAAGCGAATTGTGATGGTTAAGCCATGTGCATAGACAAGCACTGATCATGGCTACAATGGGATCAAATTTAATCCAATTCAAATTCAAATTCGGTTCATTTAAGGCAGATTCAGATATTTGTTTAGCCATGACCAGATTGAATTCAGATATTGCTTGATCCAATCTGCTAGGATCCAATCCATGTATATACTAAAAATAATATTTTATATGTAATATTATTCTAGTATTAAAATTCTTTACAAAATTAGTTGGATTTGGGATTTAGACAGACTTGTTTTTCTTTTGCACTTCATCATCATCATCATCCAAGCCCTATCTCAACTATATGGGGTCAGCTACATGAATCCTGTTTCTCTGTTCTGTTTTATTTAATGACATATCCATCGTAAAATTATTAGCACTTAAATCATTTCTTACTACTTTGACCCATGTCCTTTTTGGTCTACCCCTACCCCTTCAACTTGCAACAGATTACTTCATCTTGTCAGTGCTGTTAGAGGTTTTCTATGCACGTGACCAAACCATCTTAGTCTGTTTTCTCTCATTTTTGCTTCAATGGGGCTACACAACAGGGGTAGCCCATTCCCTATCCCCTTAACCCTCCAACCCTGGTGGCAGCGGGATTTGATCCCAAGTCTCTGCTACAAAAGTCTGAAATCCTACCAACTATTTGCTTTCTCTCATTTAATTACTTACTGCTCCCAAGTTCTTTTAAATGACTTCATTTCTGACCCTTCATTCATCTCAGTACGCATTTTTTCCACACCCATTTTTTGGACATGTTGTTTCTTGGCTGCCCAACATTTTGCTCCATACAGCATAACTGGCTTTACAACTTTTTTATAGAATCATTTTTTTCATTTATGATATATTAATTTTGTTTTATATCTATTTATAACTTTTTGCTAATTTTATATAGATTTACTTATATTTTAAGCAAACCGGATTTGAATCAGATACCCAGATATGTAAACAAATCGAACTCATATCTATGTTTTACATATCTGTTATCAGATCAGATTTGGGTATACTCCTATCTGAATTCAATCTGATCCATTTTCAGTCCTAGCAATGACTGCACCAATGAGGAGGGACTTGGTGCAAGTTGAAGGCTCTAAAAGAGCAATTTGATGAACAAAGAAAGCCTATCCTAAAGTGGAAAGAAACTACAATACCTGGATACCTATACGAGGGTGCTAATATCATGTCAGAGACTTCAATTTAGTTTAAATAGTGTACCCAACACCGTGTCCAATCATGTCCTTGCTGTATATGGGTAACATAGGTAAGAAATGACCTAAGGGCTTACAATTTGATAGAAAACATGGTTGTTGATGAAGAATAATAATGACAGGATAGTATTTGTTTAGACAACCCCAAATGGTTGGGATTAAGGTTGAGTTGAGTTGTATTTTTTCTTGGCAACAGAAAAAATACTTGTGCACCATATTTTCATGTATAACAGCTAACTTAAGTGCATCCTTTCTATATTATACACTTAAAACTATACAAATATCTCACAATATATGGAACAAACTAAAAATTATCAAGTTTGGTAAACTGAGAATTCAAGTGTGGTCAATTAGCTCTTTATTGTTAAAGCTATGGGACACAGCCCAGAACAAATAAATATTATAAATTTACTCACCCACTAGTCCACTACTGTATTTTATTAGATGCATATTTTATTTTACTAAGTGCAAATCTTTCTTCTCTTTTGAAAGGTCAAAAAGTACAATCTGAAAAAGGTACAGGTTTAGGCATCTGTTACCTGCTTGAAACTCGTTGAGAACATATGTGGCATATGTTTAATATTAGAGCATAAAAACCTATTCTGAGACCTCACCTAACAGCCTAAGCTTTTAGGTTGAATGGTTCGTTAAGATATAGAAGGCAAACTTCAGCATTGCCAAATCAGAGAATGATGGAACATTCCACAGTAGGATATTATTATAATTACTCGGTGAAGAAATAACACGTATGCATTCCATTCATATCATGACAGAAGAATTTCCAGAAAAAAAAAATCAATATAGTAAAGGAAGTTCCTAACCTGAAAGAGTGCTTGCCAGGATTTCCATGACAAAATAGATAGTAGAAGATAATGCCATGCAAACTAAACCTGAGTACTTTGGTCCGCTCCATAACCATAAAATAGATTGAGAAAAGAATGATACGTCTGTTTCATTTATCTTTGCTACTTGCTCCTGCAAATGGATAAGTTATTATAGCTAAATTCGTTTTCTTTTTCTCACACCTGGAAGCATAACAGTAGCAACTAAAGAACACAATAACAAGCAATGTGACAGACATTGCACCAACAAGGAAGGCCTCGATTTTACCTCATATAGCAAGTAAAAAACTAAAAACTACACAATTGTAGACCAGATATATTTAAGATACTTTGCATTATGTCCTGAGACTCATAAACAAAATGACGAACAACTTAGAAGATGTATTAAGATAAGGGGAGGATGTATTCACCAGACATAAATAATGCCTATACTACCACGCAAAACTTATGGCATTTCTGGGTTTACTTTACTGTTTCAACATAATTCCAGAAGAAACCAAATCATAATTACCAAAATTCAACCACGATAAATAACAATAGGTAGACGAGAATTAATACAACTACTCCAATCGCATAAATGTAAATTGAGAACTAATAGTGAAGTTCCGATTGCAGGGGAAGGCAAATAAATAACATTCGATAGGGGTTTACCTTGGGCCTCCTTCTGGGATGAGAGACAGAGAAGATGCTGGACTTGGGTTTCCCAGCCACGGATAATAGAGGAGTGATCTGATCGGATACTTGGGGTGCAGCATCGCTAACGACCAATTCGACGACATGATGATCTCCTCCTTTATCTTTCCTCTCTGCAGATTCCATACCTCTCAGCAAACCTTGAATCTGTACAAACCCCTATTTCTAAAAACTACGGTAACTGACAAGCAACCACAGCCATAATTCTCATCGACGGCAGGCACAGAGAAACGAGATGGAGGGGTTGGGTTGGGCCTTGGGAAACGCTTTTAGAATTTAGTGACGGGACCGAGAGTTCTCTTTATTGGCCTAAACTCACTGAAAGAAGACATTTAAACGGTCAACCGTTTACGGGACACGTGGAAAGATTGCAGTTGGTGAGGAGACGGGATCTGCTCCTCACACTTGGGCGCCTCACATGCACATCCACCGTGCATTGGGAATATCTCCCGTGAATAATACCTAATATTCACAGGAGATGCTCCCAAAGCATGGTAGGATGTGCGTGTGAGACGCCTGTGAGGCGCCAAGTGTGAGGAGCGGATCCGGTCTTGTTGGTGAGACCTCTTGTACGCTCTCGTCTCTCCAGACTCGAGAGGAGCTATGGAGATTGAGACTAGATCTGCTCCTCACACTTGGCGCCTTATAGGCGCCTCACATGCACATCCTATCATTCATTGGGAACATCTTCCATTCTTATTAGTTATTATTCACTGGAGATGTTCCCAATGCACGCTGAATGTGCATACGAGGCACTCATTTATGAGGAGCAGATCCCGTCACATGGAAATCACAGTTGAGATGTTCACATGAGTCTTACATGCACATCTCAGCGTGCATTGGGAACATCTCTCGTGCTTTGTCCTTGGGAGATGTTTCCTAAACAGTTGAGATGTGCTATGGGGCTTCGATATGAACTCAGCTATATGTGTTCGTTCAATCTTCATCCCTCATGTGACTGTGTGAGGGGTGGCAAATGGGTGGGTTGGGATGGGTTGGGCAAGGGTTAAAATATCAACCATTCATCTTGATCCATTAACCCACCATGATCCATCATCAATGCCTGGATTTCATGCATCAGAAGCGGGTCGGATTGATCCGTATGCCCGAAAACAATGTCAAGAAAATAATCTCTATCAAGGATTTCATGCATCAGAAGCGGGTCAGATTGACCCGTATGCCCGAAAACAAACAGACTCTTGCAATAGCTTCTCTCTTGACCCTCTCCTTGACCCAAGTGACCCTAACCCTTTTTGACCCAATGGGTACCCTCGACCCAGCCCACCGTAACCCTCTCCTTGAGCCTAATGGGTCATTTGACCCATATAACCCACTGCTGAAATGGGTGGGTTGGGTGGATCAGAAGGGTCAGGGTCAAGATTGCTGCCCCTACGTGTGATATTAGAAACCTGCATTAGAGGAAAGGAAAAATCTATGATGCCGGAAAACACCGAAAGGGCTTTAACCAAATTACCAAAATATTCTGTAAATTTTGTTGAAAAATTAAAAACCCCACACTTGATTAATTTGTTGATTGGTCATTGATTGTAAGATTTTCCTGTATAGTGTCTTTTCGACATCATCTTGCCAATAAAAAATGTCTTTCTAACATCTTAGTTGGAACAATTATAATGTCCTAAGATTTATGTATGAATTATAATACATCAATATGACTGTGGGGTAAAAAAGTAGTTACAATCAACTCTGGCTTCCGACATCAGAGGTTTTCCGTTTTCCTCTTTAACAGTTACGTAATTACATTGAAGCCCCATTCGGTGCCACTTAAAGCTGAAGTATTAAAGTGCTCCATACAAAAAAAAATCATTTAGGCTCAATTTGAAAGGAGTACAAATACAAATATATAGTGCAAAATCTTGTATTTTGTATATACAAATATACAAAATGCAAATATATAATACAAAAATTTCTAATTAGTATCCTGTGCTTTGAGCCTAGTGCATTTTGGCCCCCAAACTTTAAAATGCAACAATTCAGTACCTGAATTTTCAAAATGTGTCACTCCAGTACTTGTCTTTAACCAGTCCATTATTCAACCGTTAAGTGGCATTTGAAAAGACACAAATGCCCTTCCAGTGTCATCTAATGTTCTTTATCAACCATCCAAACATTGATAAGAAATGAACAATCCCAAATCCTTGTCTCTTCTATTCAAGAAAGCTGGAGTCACTTCTCAATGGGCATTCTAGTGACCATAACTTTCTTGAATAGAAGAGGCAGGGATTTGGGATTGTTCATTTCTTATCAATGTTTGGACGGTTGATAAATAAAATTAGATGACATTGGAAGGGCATTTGTGTCTTTTTAAATACCACTTAATAGTTGGTTAATGGACTAGTACTGGATTGACACGTTTTTGAAAGTTCCAAGTACTGAATTGTCACATTTTAAAGTTTAGGGACCAAAATGACACTAGGCCCAAAGTACAGGGTACTAATAAGAAAATTTCCCTAATTTATATGTGTTTATACTGTACATATTTGTATTTGTACTCTTTCCAAACATAGCCCTAAGAGTATTTGGTTCCATATTTAGGTGATGTTTGGCATCAATGTTGTTTTTTGAGAAAACAACACCATGTAGGCATCACATCAGAGAAAGTAGTGCTTCAAACAATGCCCTCTTGTTCTGTACCGTTTTTCTAGAAAAAATGTTTCTCCAAACCATGCCTTGTAAAATCAGGAAAGTGTTGTCTGGAGCAATGCCAAATTCAATGTTTTCTGAGGAAACGACGCATTGCTACCAACAGTGCAATGATGTGGCATCATCTTGGATGTTGGATAATATAGATCAATATTGAAAGCGTTGCTGCCAGCACTTGTACCAAACAAAACAAGTGATGTTTTCTCAAAAAATGCTTATGTGGCAGCACCAGTTCCAAACAAAAAATAAGCACCATTTTCTTACAACTCCACCTGCCCAACACTATTTTTATGAGAAAATGATGAGATGTTCCCAGCACCAATACCAAACACCTACTTAATCGTTAGCCTATTTACATATCTTTGTTTTTGTTTTTTAAAAACATATACCCTCCAAACACTTCATTTACCTTTGAGGACCCACATGCTGTGATAAATACTTCTTTCATTCATTCTATTTTTCTTTTTTATTAAAAGTAATAATAAATATTAGAATAATATTAAATCGACTGAGATCCCCACCAGTAATATGTGTTTTTTGCTCATCACTAGTGCAGATCTATATTTGGTAGTTGTGTAAAAATAGAATTGTATATATTCCTAGGATTGTGGAAATATTGATTTAGAAAGTTTTTCTTTCTATTTATTTCTTTCTATTCTTGTACTTTCTATTTTTCTACTTTCTATTTTCTTTTCTTTCTATTTTTTCTTCTTTCTATTTATTGCAACAGCTTACTATATAAATATGTCGATGGGCAATAGAATGAAATACATCAGTATTATACCATTCCAAAACATGGTATCAGAGCTCTAGGTTTGTCAACCTTGAGATTTTTTTCAGCCTTCATTGCCAGTTTTTTGTGTCTTTCTCTTTTGGCCTTTAGTGTTGATCTGTAACCAGAAGTGTTCCTTTATTCTCCATTATTCCGGCCAGTTCTTCCCTCCTTTATTTTCCTTTCCTGCTGGTTGTATTTTTCCTCCATTAACAATGTCCGACATGACTGCAACAAATGCTCTCGTCCAAACCGATGAAGGAGCAACGAATTCTCATCCTCACACTGGTGATTTGCAGAATATTTAGACAACATATAGATTGAATGGCCATAACTACTTGAAGTGGTCACAACTAGGCGTACCTATTTGAAGGGAAAAGGAAAAATTAGTCACCTTCTTGGAATAGGGCCAAAGTTGGGCGAGCCAAATTTTGATGCTTGGGACAAAGAGGACTCCATGATTATGTCATGGTTGTGRAGTTCAATGACACCCGAGATCAGTGATACTTGTATGTTTCTTCCCTCTRCAAAGGCTATTTGGGATGCTGTCCAACAAACCTATTCCAAAGCCCATGACACTGCTCGTGTCTATGAGGTCAAAGTGAAGACAGTGGCGGCCAAACAAGGGAGCAGAAGTGTTACAGAGTATGCAAATCTATTGCAAAATTTATGGCATGAACTTGATCATTATCGGGTTCTTGAGACAAAGTGCCCTGATGATGCTGTGATCTTGAAGAATTTTATTGAAAGAGATAGRGTGTATGATTTTTTGGTCGGACTGAATGCTGAATTTGATTAGGTCCAAATAAAAATTCTTGGCAAAGAAGAAGTGCCTCCATTGAATGAAGTCATAGCCCTTGTCAGAGCTGAGGAAAGCTATGGTGGAATCATGCTTGAGCCTAAAGATCCCGAAGGCTCAGCCATGGTGGCAAGGGGAAGTTACAGTGGTTCAAAGGGTGAGAAYAATCACAACTTGGCTCGTGACACGACTACCCGTGACTCTAACGATAACCTCTRGTGCACCTATTGCAAGAAGCCCAGACACACAAAAGATCGGTGCTGGAAACTTCATGGAAAACCTCCCACATCCAGCAAGGAATGGGGAAATCGAGGAGTTTCAAAAGGAGTTTAATAGGACCATAATGTCTCCTCAACCCCACAGCAAGAACACTCAAGTCAGGGACCATTTAATGATGAAGAAATTGAAAGGCTAAGGAGCTTCCTGAAATCCTTGAAACCAGGAAGTAGTTCTACCTCTCTTTCTCTCTCAAGTGAGTCTTTATCTTTATGATTACATGCCTCGGCTAGTGTTTTTCCATGGATTCTTGATTCTAGAGCTAATGACCACATGACACCCTCTTCACTACATTTTTTCACCTATACACCCTGTCCTAGTAATAGAAAAATTTCTATTGCTGATGGTTCTTTCACCACACTGGCAGGGATTGGGAATATTCAAATTACTCTATCCCTATTACTTAAGAATGTGCTTCATGTTCCTAAGTTATCCACTAGCCTTATCTCTATGCATAAACTCACCCAGGATGTGAACTGCAATGTTGTGTTCTTTCCTTCTTACTGTGTATTTCAGAACTAGGTTTCGGGAAAGAAGAGTGAACTTGCTAAGCACAAAAGGGTTTCTTTCCCAATCAGCAATAAAAGATCTTCAACTCCTTTTTATTTGATTCATCGGATATATGGGGCCCTTCTCAAATTCCCAACATTACTGGTTCTAGATGGTTTGTCACCTTTATTGACGATTGCACTAGGGTCACATGGATCTTTCTTCTTAAGTCTAAATCTAATGTGGGTACCATTCTTCCCAACTTTCATAACATGGTCCAAACTTAGTTGGG